GTACTCCTTCTCCCACCAAATTTTTTGTGTTGCACAATTCACATGAACAAAGTAATCACACCGTAGACAACGGTAACTCCCATATTCCACATTAATTTCATCCCAACAAATTCTACACACCTTGTCTTTTCCCTCATATTCTTCAAGGAAATAAATGTGGGAAAGTGGATGCTCATGCCTTGTTATCTTGATCTTCCATGGGAATGAAATGCAATCCTTATGAATTGCAATGTCACATTCAGTGCATACATAAGGAAAGCAGTACTTCCCATCAGTACCACAAGCATTACAAACGAAAGAGAATGGTTTTGATACAAGGATAAATGGATGCTCGTGGTTCTCACTTTTGATCACTTTATCATAGAAAGTACACTTGATCATAATGCCAAAATCACAAAGAGAACAATAATAAATGAATCCCTTGAAAGCTTTGGTGCATCCCTTGAAAGCTTTGGTGCATAAATAGCAAGAACTTTTCTTTGGATGAGGTGGAGGTTTGGGTAGAAGGGTGAGCGAGTGTTTGCGGTGACTAGGGTGTTTGATCTCAATGGGTAACACAAAGCATTTCGGATGCAGGAAAAACGAACAATCAAAACAACAATAAACAGGACCCGATGTGGGCTCTTCACATGCAGAGCAAGATAGATCTTGGGGTTCAATATAGTGGTTTTGAATGAAGAAGAGTGAATGTTGATGGCTAAAATGTTCCAGCTTTGAGAAATCTCCAGCAATCAAGTTTGGAAGCAAAGCACATCTAATATCAAGATCAAACTTACAAGAACAATGATAAACAAATTCCTTACCTATTTTTTGGCAGGAATTACACTTAAATCGACCGGGATACTGTGACTTCTCGTAAAAGAACGAGGGGATGGTTGAGGTGAAAGGGATGATTGATCTCCCGTGGTAGCTCAGCACAAGACTTATGAAGACAACAGCCACACTCTGAGCAGTTGTAGTAAGTCGTTGTTAATTTATAAGTCGTAACAAAATTCAACCATGAGATCGAGTATTTTCTCACAAATCTTCTAATCCCTATGCAGCCTGTTTCAAAGGCCCGGTATTCGAAAAGAGGAAGATCAGAAGTAGATAAAATTTAGCAGCTAGTAATATGCTAGAATGGCAGATTCTGTTGGTAGGAGAGTTTGAATTATTTGACAGATAAAGTTTAAAAAAAAATGTTGTTTGAGGATTGGGCTCAAGCACTAGATTTTGATCAATTGGGCTAATTTTGAAAGCCCAATTTTACAAACAACTGGACTCAAGCTAGCATTAGATTTTGTAATTTTTTATTTTCTAGCCAGAAATAGAAATGAGTTGCCAAATCTTTCATTTTTCTTTCGATTCGATTACAAAAGGAAAATGATATGAAAAGAATAAATTTGTGCATCCCGAACCCTTTATATATATATATATATTCTTTTGTAATGTGAAATCAAAATTTTGTTAAATAATCATGAAGCACTAGAGATTTCAGTTAAAAAATTATTTAATCTTTGTTGAATGTAAGATATATGTAAGCGTAAATAAATATATATTATAATAATAAAAAAAACAAAAATAATGCAAAGAAAAAAAACAAGCATCCAATATTTGAATATTACAAACTCCATTCCAAACAATAGAAAAAAGCACATTGCACATTAGAAAAAGAAACTTTAAAACATAGATAAAAAGAAAAATCCCCTCAGTGATGGAGAATTTACGAAGAAACAAGTAACGCTTTGTCAAACCTTTGCCATTGCCATGCTGGGGACGGAGCACAATGCAAGTGGCAAGCGAACTTACAGTATGATTCTGAACATTTGAGGAACACATTTTTACAACGCTTGCCGCACCTGTTGCATTTAAAGTAGTCAAAATCTTCCTTCACAAAGGTGAGAGGGTGTTGATGCAAATCATATGTGAAAGTCAATCCAAGCTTGACATATGGGGATCTCCCTAGAACACAAGAACGATGCACAGAATACTCGCAAATTTCACAGTGATAAAACCAGTGATTTGGGTCTCTTGGTTCCTCACATATCTCACAAATACATTGATCCACAACATGATCATCATGATAAGTGAGTGCAAGAGGATGTTCATCATACTTGTACCAGGTTGTAAGTGGCAGCACAGTACACATTTCACACAAGAAAAAGTTGCATTCCTTGCATCTATTAAAGAATCGACTTCTTTTACTTCCACAGCTATTGCATTCCTCATAATGTTGCCAGTCACAAAAAAGACGATGCTGGTGTCCTTGATTGGTGAAGTTGTCAGGAACTTCAAAGCATCTGATGCACATGAAGCGGACATCATCATCGTGGTTGTAGCTAAACCCACTACAGACAAATTTACAACAGTAACAAAAAAAAATGGGATAATAATGGAGAGTTAGGATGGTTTTGAATCCCCAATGTCTTGTCTTTCTTAATAACTCAGCACAAAACTTGTGGAGGGAATAATCACATTCAGTGCAATAGTAAAATTCAGTGGAG